TAAAATATATATTAATACAACATATTGCTGCCCTGCGTTTATACGACTTGATCAACTATTTTCAATTCGTTGTATAAAGCATGTAATAGAGAGTGCAACAGGTGGTCTCTATAAACATCCAATAAAGTTTCAATAAATGGTGTTGTTAGATATCAAAGAATCGACTATAAGCATACATTGTATATTAGCCTACATTTATACATACTGCCTACTTAGACTGCATTGCAGTTAAGCGCACAAATATATATTTGAGTAGGAATGTCAGGAGTAATACAAGTTTTCTCATACAAATTAAAACGACTTATTACAGATTTTCAGCTGTGGTAGAGGAAGTTTTACAAGAAGTATGTTTAGTGGAATTTACTAGTTCTGTATGCACAATATGTCTACTTGAATACTACTGTATAGTGGTGCGCTAATATGTACTGTATACTTAAAACACCGGATAAAAAATAAATTGTAGCGCGAGAAAATTATATTTACTATTTACAATTTAATAGGATTGGAAAGACGACAATAAGCTTAGCTTAGCAACTTATTTTTTGCTCTTCATTTCGTTCTGCTTCAATATATACATATTGTGCTATATTGGCGAGCTTCTCATGGAAAAGGTACATTTTTCAGATTTTAAAGTTAATCACTGATTATAATCACATGATCGTTTGCGATCGATGTTGCAGAGCATTGAAATTGGATCAATGTGTTATATGATCAATTGGTACCAATTATCGCCAAGATCTGTCCGCAGTCTTGTACTGATAATTGCTATGTCCAGCCATCCTATAAAACTTAGTGCCGGTAGAATGGCAGATCTGTCATTAACGACTTTTGGAAATGTGAGACATTAAATACATATCACTTCTAGCTTGTTCACATAGAACATAGTACTTCTTGCTATGTTCTATTTCTCCTTCAGTTATAAAACAAAAATTCACACTCATTAAAAAAAAAAGCAATTTTAATAGGCAATTATATTAACAACTATACAATTTTTATATGTAAAATTAATGTGCAGTTAAATATGACAAATCGCGTACATTAATAAATTAATTATTTTATACAGTTGCAGCTAAAGCTAAATGGTTATCAGAATTTGTCAGTTATCATCTTTAACTTTTGTTGCAATAAGTATAAAATAGTTTATTCAACTAGATATACAATATACACTTATTAATTCTACATATAAAACTTTTATATTTATCACTTATATAGTTATCACCATTATGTTTTTTTTTTCGAAGTACAATTCTATTGAAAAAAATCAATATTGAAGAATTATTTAGTAATACTCTTAGATATCAGAATCTAATAATAATTCAATTCTTTGAAATTACATAAAGCTAACTTAAAAAATATCATTTTAATATAATTTTTTAGGTACTGAAAACAAGCGTAGCGTATCTGAGCTTCCTACGGACATTGGTCATGTAAATATAATTACAATTATATAAAATATATTAAGAAACGATTTAATTTCATCTAGTTAATCTGTAGAATACATAGAATCTTTATATATATATAATATTATTTAGAATAATATTCAATATCAGATATCTACATAAATCACATTCTTTCCATGTTATCCATATTGTTGAGTCATTCACGCACAAACAATTTATAATCTCATTTTTTATTTTTTTAATACACGCTAGCAATTTAAATTTAACAATTAAATAAAGCAAAAGATGTTAAACTATGAACAGATGTCAAATTTTATCAAACCTGATTTCTCAAATAACGAATTGAAGTCGATTAGAAAAATTCAAATAAAACAGTAAAATTGCAGCTTCCTTGGAATCGACATCATTTTGAATATAAAATATGCTTTTACGATATGCACTTCCCGATTAATAGTGTGTACACGAACTGTCAGACTTATTGACTCATCAGCTAGCATTGTAAAAGTGTCTGCGCAAGCGTACGTCTCGCAACCTTGCAATCAATGCCGCGCGTTCATCTAGTCTACTCTTCTTGCAGTCTTTGACAGAATCTGTCACCGCAAACATGTCCAGTATACGCGATAAGTCCGCCAGATCATGTAACTCCAATTATCAGCAAGATATTCGATATGTTTTCAAGTTAAATAACTGGATTATGGGATCGCTCGGTATTTGGCCAAACGCGATACGAGGCATTGGAAGACACATGTCCAAGATTGCAATCGCAATCTTTAATTTTGCATTGAGCTTTGCGATAGTGCCTTGCGCTCTGCATATCATTTATGATCAAAAGGATCTCGACGTAAGGCTACGCCTAAGCGGTCTTCTAGCCTTCTGTCTCACCGTAATGACAAAATACTGCATCTTCGTGATACATCGTCCTAAGATACATCGTTGCATCGAATACGTGAAGAACGATTGGTGGCAGGTCGGTGTTGCTAATAACATATCGTGTTAATGTGGAGTTCGTTATGCTGATCGTTAAGCTGGTACTAAAAAATTACTTAAGTAAAAAAAGAGTAGAAACACATAATTAAAGTGATCTTGATTTTTAATTAATTCGATCTTATGATATATCCGTCATTGAAAAGTATATACGTATTTTGTGTATTAAAACATAATAATACATTTGTATATAAATATATTTAATATAATAATATTGTATAAATCAAAATATACGAATAATTAATCTTTTCTCCGCGTTGCACAGCTAAAACTTTAACTTAAAAAAAAAAATTAGATTGCAAAATTGGTAAATGCTGATCTTTCATCTATCTCGACAAATAACAGTTACTAGCAACACTGTGACAGGTGACATTCAAGTCCGATCGCGAACTGATGCTGAAGTACGCTACCACCGGTCGCAATCTGACGATAATCGGCGTGTGTTTCATGTACACTGCTGGCATCATTTATCACTTGATTCTACCGTTCTGTGTTGAGCACAAAATCGACAATCAAACCATCAGACCGCTCGTGTATCCGACCTATAGTAAATTTACTCAATCACAAATTAGTCCTATATACGAAATTGTATATGTTGCTCATTGTATGTGCGGATATACAATATATTCGTTAACAGCTGGTGCGTGCGGATTGGCTGCTTTGTTTGTCACTCATGCGTGTGGCCAAATCCAAGTGATTATGTCGCGATTGGAAAATCTCTTAAACGACAAAAATCCAAACATTCATCAACAAATCGCTATCATCGTGAAGGATCACGTCCGCATAGTAAGGTAATAGCTTAGAATATCAATTTCTTATTGAGAGAAAAATGCTTGACATTTGTAGCTATAATTATGTAGCTGTAATTATGATTATTATCGTTATAATATTAGTAATAATAACCATATGAATGGTTCTAGCGACAAATGTATATAAGGTAAACGTCCCAATGGTTGAACATATCCTAGTTTATGAACGATATGCAATAAATATTTATAATTATTAAGTTCTCTATAACATAAGTACAAAATATATTAATTTTGTCTTGTGTCTCATCCTCGTTAAAAAAAACTTCATAAAGGCTATTCACATTTTGTTAGACAATTGTTATCCACTTCCGTTTATTTTTTCGGCCAAGGAGATTAAAATTCCATTTTTATAATGCTAATAATTCCATCACTAACAAACAGAAGATAAAAAACAAATATTTCTCCGTATGTAAGATCTGTTTCTTAGTTTTTTATTATAGCGTCAATGATTAATTTGAAAACACCTTATCTATTCCTAACATCTTAAATAAGCTTATAAAAAGTAGGTAAAGACTGCCTAGATCCTTTAGCAAACCAAGATATGATATACAAAATTTCGTGTCCGGATTGTGATGTAAGTTATGTCGATCAACAAAGAGACGCTTACATACGAGAGTTCATGAGTAATCTTCTGAAATTAACAAAAAATGCGATCTCCTTCTGTTATTTCATCATCCCCATTGACCATCTTATTAAATTTGATCATAATTTTGGTTGGGAAGAAGTTAAAATTTTGGATACAAAATCATTTTATAATAAAAAGTCAATATAAAAAGTCATATCACAAATGGTTTATATAAAAAAACAATTTCGAAGTTTAAATAAACAAACTGATACAAAATTTTTATTCAACATGTATCTTTCTATACTCCAATCTCTCTTCCCCTTCCTAATACCTTTTTGTATACCTCCTCCTTTCACACATTCCGTACCTAGCATCTTGTTCTCTCTTGCTTGAAACAATCATATCAGATCAATCATATGATAATAAATTTCTGTTTCCTAAAGAGCTGAGTTTTTTAGTCGAGATAACTCAATGTCATTTTCGAATTTTACTTTTTAAATAAAAATTTGCGATGGATTATTAAGGTTTGTAAATACTCAAGGTTTGTAAATTGAAACTATATCATATATTTTATTTGAATTAATATATATTATAATAACCATTTCTATATCCACGTATCATTCTTCTAGGATCTCAGAACAATAGCAATTTAAACGACTCAATAATTAACAATCAGGGCCGGATAAAGGTTTCTGTCCCCTCTAGGCAGTGAAATTTTTTCCGTCCTCATTCAACTATCGAACAACTACGTCAGCGAAACAAACACCTAAAAAAAAAGTCAGCAGGGATTGAAGAACTTTATCTCCTCTATTTCGGACTTTACTGTAGAATTGATATTTTGTTTTTATATAATGAAAATATTTATATAAGTGAATGTATATTATATTATATAGTTTTAATATATCGTTCAACCACTGGAGTTTTAGTTAATCTAAAATTAATATAATTATAGTTATTATAACCATAACAAAGATTGAAATTGTCATAAAAATTATTCAAATTACTATAATTTTATAGTCACACATTTTTTTAAATATATCCCACAAAACGATTATAAGATTATAATAATTTGAATCAATTTTATGGTTATATAATAACTATAATTATAGTTATTTTTTTTAGGCTGTCAACTATTGTATTATATATACATTCGTTGCTGAAATTACACATATGATTATTATTAGATTATTACTATAATATTATACATAATAATCATAACATGTAATTATAGTTACAAATACCAAACATTTTTCTCTCAGTGCTTAAGGACTCATGACAGTTCAATAATACAAAAAAATAAAAAAATATAACTAAAAATGAATAGTTTGCAGTTTATATTGTAACTAAAAATGTTTTAAACAAGTAATTAACAAATTAACACAAGTTATTAAGATATTCTTGTATAATATTAACTTAATTAGCATAATTAATTTGGCTCAAAAATAATGTTACGTGTTCATTTCATCATGTCAATTTAATTGTTAATTTAAAAAAATAATATAATTGCATAATGCTGCATTTCGTTCATATAACTCATTCAACTATTTTTATTTCATTGTATAAAGGATGTAATATTATAGAACATGCAGGTGGTCTCAATGATCATCCAATATAGTAAATGATTTCAGTAAATAGTGCTATTACAGTTTCAGTAAATGGTACTGTTACATATCAAAGAATCGACTATAAGCATACGTTATATATCAGTCTACATTTATACATACTGGATACTTATACTGCACTGCAGTTAAGTGTACAGTTATATTTGAATAGAAATGTTCGGAGTAATACATTCAAGTTTCCTCGTAAGTTAAGACGATTTATTGCAGGTTTTCAGCCGTGATAGAGGAAGTTTTACAAGAAGTATGTTTAGTAGAATTTACTAGTTCTGTATGCATAATATGTCTACTTGAATACTACTGTATAGTGGTGCGCTAATATATACTGTATACTTAAAACAATAGATAAAATATAACTAGTATATTTAAAATAATAGATAAAAGATAACTAGTAGCTCGAGAAAATTAAATTTACTATTAACAATTTAATAGGACTGGAAAGACGATAATAAGATTAGCTTAGCAACTTATTTCTTGCTCTTCATTTCATTCTGTTTCAATGTATACATATTGTGCTATATTGGCGAGCTTCTCATGGAAAAGGTACAGCTATGTTTTTCAGATTTTAAAATTAATCACTGATTATAATCATCATGATCATTTGCAACCGATGTTGCAGAGCATTGAAATTGGATCAAAGTGTTATATGATCAATTGGTATCAATTATCACCAAGATCTGTTCGCAGTCTCATATTGATAATCGCTATGTCCAGCCATCCTATAAAACTTACAGCTGGTAGAATGGCAAATCTGTCATTAATGACTTTTGGAAATGTAAGGCATTACATACATTTCACTTCTAGTTTACTATGGTCTATTCCTTCTTCAGTTCTAAAACAAAATTCGCACTCACAGGGAAAAAAAGCATTTTTTAATAGGCAATTAACACCTATAAAAATTTTATATGTACAGTTAAATTTAACTGTTAATTTTTAACTGTTAAACAGTTAAATTAATTACAAATTAATGTACAGTTAAAAACAATAAATTAAGTACATTAATAAATGAATTATTTTACAGTTATTGCAGCTAAAGCTAAATGGTTATGAGAATTTATCAGTTCTCACATTTAACTTTTGTTGCAATAACTATAAAGTAGCTTATTCATCTATATTTGTATATATATATATAATACTAATTCTGCATATAAAACTTTTATTTTTATTACTTATATAGTTGTTACCACTATGTTTTTTTTATGAGTGCAACAATCCTTCTGAAAACAATCAATATTGAAGAATTATTTATGATATTTTTGGATATCAAATCTAACAATAATTTAATTTTTCGAAATTATAAAAAGCTAAATTATAAAATATCATTTTAATATAATTTTTTAGGTACTGAAAACAAGCGTGGCGTATCTGAGCTTCCTGCGGAGATTAGCTATGTAAATATGATTGCAATTGTATAAAATATATTAAGAAATGTATTTAATTCTATCTAGTTAATCTGTAGAACGTAGAGAATCTTAATATATGTATACACACACGCGCGCGCGCGCACACACACACACACACACACACACACACACACACACACATATAATATTATTTAGAATATTATATCAATATCAGATATCTACATAAGTCACATTCTTTCCATGTTAATCATATTGTTGAGTCATCCACACACAAATAATTTATAATTTTTTATTTTTTTAATCCATATTACAACAGTATAAATTTAACAATTAAATAAAGCAGAAAATATTGATCTATGAACAGATGTCCAAATTTTATCAAACCTGATTCCTCATATAATGAACTAAAATCGATTTAAAAAATTCAAATAGAACGGCAAAACTGCAATTTCTATGATATGAAATCGACATCATTTTAGATGTAAAATGTGCTTCATCACTTCCCGATTAATAGTGAGTACATGAATTGTCAGACTTACTGACTATCAGTTAGCATTGCAAAAAAGTCTGCAATGTCAGCGCAAGCGCACGTCTCGCAACCTTGCGATCAATGCCGCGCGTCCGTTTGGTCTACTTTTCTTGCAGTCTTTGGCAGAATCTGTCACCGTAAACATGTCCAGTATACGCGATAAGTCCGCCAGATCATGTAACTCCAATTATCAGCAAGACATTCGATATGTTTTCAAGTTAAATAACTGGATTATGGGGTCGCTCGGTATTTGGCCAATCGCGATACGAGGCATTGGAAAACACATGTCCAGGATATCAATCGCGATTTTTAATTTCGCGTTGAGCTTCGCGATAGTGCCTTGCACTCTGCATATCATTTATGACCAGAAGAATATCAACGTAAGGCTGCGCCTAAGTGGTCTTGTAGCATTCTGTCTCACAGCAATGACAAAATACTGCATCTTCGTGATACATCGTTCTAAGATACATCGTTGCATCGAATATATGAAGAATGATTGGTGGCAGGTCGGTGTTGCTAATAACATATCATGTTAATGTGGAGGTTATTACAAGGTACTAAAAAAATTATTTGAGTAAAAAAGAATAGAAACAGGTTAAAAAAAAATACATAATTAAAGTGATCTTGATTTTAAATTATTTGATCTTGTAATCTTACTATCGTTGTTTGAAAAGTACATATATTTTTGTGCATTAGATCACAATAATATATTTGTGTGTAAGCATATTTAATATAATGATATAAATAAAAATAAATAAAATATACGATTAATTAATATTTTTTCCGCGTTGCACAGCTAGAACTTTAATTCAAAGAAAAATTAGATTTCAAAATTGCTGATATTTCATCTATCTCGATAAATAAAAGTTATTGCAACACTGTGACAGGTGACATTCAAGTCCGATCGCGAACTGATGCTGAAGTACGCTACTACCGGTCGCAATCTGACGATAATCGGCATGTGTTTCATGTACACTGCTGGCATCATTTATCATTTGATTCTACCGTTCTGTGTTGAGCACAAAGTCGACAATCAAACCATCAGACCGCTCGTGTATCCGACCTATAGTAAATTTACTCAATCACAAATTAGTCCAATATACGAAATCGTGTATGTGGCTCATTGTATGTGCGGATATACTATATACTCAGTGACAGTTGGTGCCTGCGGATTGACCGCGTTGTTCGTTACTCATGCGTGTGGCCAAATCCAAATACTTATATCACGACTAGAAGATCTATTAGTTGGTGAAAGATTCAAACAAAGCCCGAACGTTCATTATCAAATTGCTGCCATCGTAAGAAATCACGTAAAAATAATAAAGTACGATATAAACAATCCATGTAAATTTATTTAAAATTTCGGAATAATTTATCGAAATTAAACATCAAAAATTACTGTTAAAAATTGAATAATTTTTAACTCAATTCATAAATAAAATTTGTTTAATTTAAAACACATTTATTTTACAATTCGATAAGTGGTAGTTATAAACATAGTAAAAGAAAAAAACTTTCTAGTTTAATTTGTAATACCGCTATTAATATTACTACAAATTTATATAATTTATTTAATTATTATTGTTCCACTGTATTATATGTGAAAAAGGTAAGAAGACAAATGCAACAGGTAAGCTCAACTAATCTCCAATCCAATAGGCAGTACGTTGCGTGTACAATACGCAGACTATAAGCATACGCTATTATATCTACATCAGCCTAGTTAAATGTTATACTTGCACCGTATACCAACTCTGAATATATATTGAGTTGGAACAAAAGCGTAACGCTACGAATTTTAAATTTAAGCTAATAGACCTTTATTAAAAATAAACGAAATTTAAATTTAAAAACAGAATTTTAATGTTTAAAATCTCTACTTTCGAACAGTCTTTTGAGTTTCTGTAAGTTTGATAATTTTGGCATATTCAAATCTAGACAAAATGGGAACTTTCTTCTCATTTTATGAGCTTATCACGTAGCTAAAAAAAATTCAAAACTTCAATTTTCGAACCTAAAAATTTAAAATTTTCCCTACAAAATAGTCATATTTTTGTCGAAAATGATCGTAATGCAAGTTTAAAAAACAGATTCTTAAAAATGACTTTACTTTATCAAATGGTATATAACGGTATACAATTGTCAAATTTTGATAAAAACATGTAAACATGATATAAATAAAGTAATGTTACATAACTTTTGTTCCAACTCAATACAACTCATCATAATTAGAATAAGTGAAAGCAATGCAATGTCTCTCATATATAAACTAGAATAACTTATTCCAGATTTGCGGCAAAAGTGGAAGAAATTTTACAGGAAGTGTGTTTAGTAGAGTTCACTAGTTCTGTATGCACGATATGTCTACTCGAATACTATTGTATAGTGGTGCGCTAACATATATTAAAGGAAAAAAGAATTCAATAACTCTTGACAAATTACAAAATTATATATGCTATTTAAAATTTGATAGGATTGGACAGCGAACGACAGAGTTAGTTTCGCAACTTTTTTTCTTCTCCTTGTATCATTCTGTTTCAATATTTATATATTATGTTACATCGGTGAGCTTCTCATAAAAAAGGTATATTGTTCGTTTTTCAGAGACGCTACGTTTAATTTTGTTAATTATAATTGAATAATTGTTCGCATGATTTTGCAGAGCACTCAGATTGGATCGATATGCTACATGATTAATTGGTATCAACTATCGCCAATATCAGCTCGCAGTCTTATATTGATAATAACGATGTCCAGCCACCCTATAAAACTTACTGCTGGTAGAATGGTAGACCTGTCATTAAAATCTTTTAAAAGTGTGAGGCACATTACGTACATTTATTAATTTCATTTCTTGTGACTTCCATTCTTCCAATTTTAAAACAAAATTTGTAATAATTATATGAAAAATATCACATCTTCAAAATTTATTTTATTTGATAATATTATTATGTAACAAATATAGCAATAGATTCAATCTAAAAGTTGCAAAAATCTAATTACGGCTGCAGAAATATCATAATAATATAATCTTTTTTATAATAATATAATCTAATATAATATAACCTTTTTAGGTACTACAAACTAGCCTGGCATACCTGAGCTTCCTACGAACGTTAGTTATGTAAATTAATATGATATATGTTAAAAAAATATTTTTAATTTAATATAATTTATTAGTTCAGCATAGAAGAAAATTTTCGTATAGATATATTATATAATATTACTCATATTACTGACAGAATAAACATTTAAGTCCATATCAGGTGTGCACATCTTCACTTTTCTTATTCCACTGGTGTCGTTACTTCTATTAAATCAGTAGGACCAAATGAGCAGAATCAATCCAGACCTATTTAATTTTTTTGTACTCATTTTGTACTAATTTGTACCACCAATAAAAATTTTGTAGCCTGTACCGTTTTGAAAAAAAAAACGTGGTGCTGCTAGTTTAATATGAAACTAGCAGGACCACATAAAAAAAAAACAAAAATATAAATAAAAAAAACTGAATTTAAACTAATTTGTATTAGCAAGAAAAATAAATAAATAATTAATATACTGATCCATTCTTTGAAAAACATAATTTGTACCATCAAAATGTAAAGTTTCAGATTTTGTACACCGTTCTTTCGAAAACTACCCCCAACCCCTATTAGGCTCAAGAGTAAAATACAATCATAAAATCTGAAACTTTATGATTATATTTTGATGTTACAAATTATACGCTCTCGATTATAGGAGTATCGACTAATTCTCTTCATGGCGAAGGGTACTTTACTCTTAAGCCTAATAAGAGTTAGGGATAGTTTCCGAAGAAACAGCAGAGGTACGCGAAATCTGAAACTTTATACTTATTCTATCGTTCTGTATTGAGCAATCAAATCGACAATCAAATCATCAGACCGCTCGTGTCTATAGTAAATTTAGTCAATCACAAATTAATCCAATATACGAAATCGTGTATGTGGTTCATTGCATGTGCGGATATACTATATACTCAGTAACCGTTGATGCCTGCGCATTGGCCGTTTTGTTTGTTACTCAAGCGTGTAGCCAAATCCAAATACTTATGTCTTATGTCATGATTAGAAGATCGATTAGCTGGTGAAAGATTCAAACAATGCCCGAACAATGTTCATAATCAGATTACTGCCATCGTAAGAAATCACATAAAAATAATAAAGATATAACAATCTGTGTAAACAATTTATTTAAAATTTCGCAATAATTTATCAATATTAAAAACTAAAAATTACTGTTAAAAAATTTAATAATTTTCAACTCAATTTATGAATAAAATTTTTTAAATTGTAACTGAAAACATTTATTCTACAATTAAGTAGTAGTTGATAAATGTAGTAAAAAAATAATTTTTCTAGTTTAATTTATAATACTGATGTTAATATTATCATATAAGTTCATATAATTTATTTAATTATTACCTTCCACTGTATTGTATATGATAAAGACGAGAAGATAAATGCAACGGGCGAGCTCAACTAATCTCCAATCCATTTCAGTAGGCAATATCGTTGCGTGTCAGACAATACGTAGAATAAATATACGCTATTATATCTCAGAGAACATTAAGACGTCTCGTAAGACATCATAAAGACATCCTAAAATTCATATCATATTTTTGTTTAATATCAGAATGACGTCTATATGACGTCTTTAAGATGTCTATGCGTCGATTTATGACATCTTACAGATATTACTCTTACGATGTCTTATAGACTTGTCCTTTATGACGTTTTACAGAATTATTTTTATGACGTCTTACAAATATCATGCTTAAGACTTACTTCATTTTAGACATTTGTCTAAAAAATAAAAATAAGACTGATAAGGACTGATAAGACTGTTCGGAAACGCGTTGATAAGAAGTATACGGAGCAAAAGTTGGAATTACGTGAAATTAATATGTAAATGACATCATACTTAATACATATTTTCAACAACAAATTGTGACAGATAATAAATCATTATTGAAAATATATATTAAGTACAATATCATTCATATATCGATTTATCAAGTAATTCGAATTGCTTTGTATTTTTGCTCTTGTCAACGCGTTTTCAAACAGCTTCGTATAATTGTGTAGTTGCAGAATATTATAATATAATACAAAATATTAGAATGCCAAATTAATTGACATTCAATATTTTTAATAGGTATTATATTTAGATTGACCATGTCATGCACTCGATATTATGTATCTTTCGAAAATATTTGAAAGATGTTTAAAAGACGTCTTTCAGAAAAGTTTAGTTTAAGATGTCTTTTAGATATCTTTCAAACATGCGTATTCTTTGGGATGTATATCAGCTTAGTCATATTGTTATTCTTGCATACATACTAACTCTGCATATATATTAAGTTGGAACAAAAACATAACGCTAGAACTTTAAAATTCAAGCTAATGTAACTTCATTAAAAATAAACAAAATTTAAATTTAAAAACAAGAGTTTTGAAACTTAAAATTCCTATTTACAAAATTCCTATTTACTATGTCTTTTGAGTCTCTGTGAGTTTGATAATTTTTGCATATAAAATCTAAACAAAATAGGAAACTTTCTTCTCACTTTATGAGCTTATCACGTAACCAAAAAAAAACTTCAAAACTTCAACTTTCAAACCTAAAAATTTAAAATTTTCCCTACAAATCGTTTTTAAAATATTCCTCTCATTTTTTATTATTGAGTTATCACGGATTAAATTATTAACTTATTCCAGATTTGCAGCAAAAGTGGAAGAAGTTTTACAAGAAGTGTGTTTAGTAAAGTTCATTAGTTCTCTATTCATATGTCTACTCAAATACTATTGTATAGTGGTACGCTAATTAGCACACAGAGTGAATCAGTCTTTTTTCCCTATAAGAAAATTATGCACGGAAGTTGCATCCAATTAGATATGAAAATATTTTTCTCATAGAGTAAAAAGTTGGTTCAACGAGTCTGATTCATCCTGTATATTAAAGAAAAAAAAATTCAATAAATCTTAACAAATAATAAAATTATATGTGCTATTTAAAATTTGATAGGATTGGAGCAGGCAACAGACGTTTTCACTTTCCTTATCTTACTGTTGTTGAATTACTTATGTATCATCAATCTCAATTTTTTATATAACGCGTGCAAATAATTTAACTTTGACAATTGAATAAATAGGTAATGTTAAATTAATTTCTTAACGTTCATTTTTTTATTTTAACTTCTCTAGTTTCTCAAATTGCCGATTACTGATTAAAACGAATAATTTAAGTGAATAAGGAAAGAATCTTTTTGATCTAAAACCATGGGTGTAACGTACGCACTGCACAGATTATACACTCTCCTATCACGCGATCTGTCAGACTGTGTCGACAAAGTGGAAGGATGTCTGTAACAGGAGCGCAAGCGCATGTCCGGCGACCTTGCAATCAATGCCGCGCGTTCACCTCGTGCAGTCTTCAGCGGAACCTGTCATTGCGAACATGGAAAGCTCACAGGACGAGTATGTAACATCACCGAACGCTAATTATCAACGAGACGTACGGTACATCTTTAAGCCCGGTAACTGGATCCTCAGCTCAATCGGCATCTGGCCTGTTGCGATTCGCGGAATCGGGCGATATGCGCCCAAAATAGCGATCGTGGTGTGTAATTCTGCGTTAGCCTTCGCGATAGTGCCCTGCATTCTGCATATGATCTACGATCAGAAGGATCTCAATATAAGACTGAAACTTTTCGGGCTACTAGGCTTCTGTACTACTGCAATGATGAAGTATTGTGTTCTCACGATACGTCGACCCAAGATATTGCGCTGCATCGAGCATGTGAAGAGTGACTGGTGGCAGGTCGGTGTTGTTAATACGTAAAGTGTGTTACAGGATCAATAGACAAAATTTATCAGCGTAATAATGATAAATAACGACTCATTTTTTTCTCTTGCGAGTTCAAAAAATGTGCGATGTGAGAAACTGACCATTTCCCCTACAGCACAAAAATTGCAGCAACAATGCTGCAACATTACAGCAATATTGCATGTTGCAGCAATATTGCAGCATTATTGAAGCGATATTGCTGCACATTCTGTATGAGCTGTCTAATCTTGTTTTTCAAGTAATCCGATACTTTGTCAACTTCATATAAACGTCCATTTATTTCATATTGTTGAATGTTCTTTAATCAAATTTATTATTGCAGATTTCAAACTGTATTGTATACATCGACAAAATTTAGATCTAATTTCAAAACTTGCGTGATAACGTTTCCGTGTTCACGCAAAACGAATCTCGCATTAAAACAAATCTCATTTTTGAATAATTTTATCCATCCTATAATTTTTGTGTGATAAATAATAATTATTTTGTCACTTATTTCTTTCGACAAATTGGTTGCTTGCAATTGTGACAGGCAAAATTCAGCTCCGACCGCAAATTGATGCTGAAGTATGCCACCACTGGTCGAAGACTATCCATGATCAGCGCGACTTCCATGTACGTTGCGGGCTTCATTTATCACACAATTCTGCCGTTTTGCACCGAACACAAGGTCGACAACCAAACCATTAGACCACTCGTATATCCAACTTACAGTAAGTTTTTTAAGACGCAGGCGAGTCCGATATATGAAATGGTGTATCTAGCCCATTGTGTGTGCGGATATACCATGTACTCAGTGACGGCTGGATCGTGCGGATTGGCAGCGATATTTGCCACTCATGCGTGTGGTCAGATCGAGGTGATCATATCTCGACTCGAGGATCTTTCAGGTGGCAAAAACTTCGAGCAATTGTCGGACGTTAATCAACGAATCGCTGTCATTATAAAAAGTCATGTTCGAATATTAAGGTAATATAATTACAAATTAATACTGTTCTCCGAAATTAATACTATCAGACTCTCAATATAATTAATAGAATTTCGACTTCTCCCATAAGATTTGAAGTTTTTGTTATTTTTTAAATATTCTAGCATAATAAATAAATATATAAAATAAGAGCCTGAAGATAAAAATGCCTCAATTTTATATGTATTTTGGTAATGCAAAAATTATTTCATTTTAATAAAATCATTGAATTATGATATTTGCGATAGCATTCCTGAGATTCTAAAGAATTCTAAAAAAAAAAGATAAATTTAAATCTATAAAACTATGAGAAAGTTTTACTTCTTTACACCCATATCTATTATATACATGTATTACATTTGCATTTCATTTTTATAATTTGGGTATGGCTGATAGAATTCAGGCTCTTCTCTGAAATGATTTAAAATTATTTCTATAAAGACAATATATTTTTTAATATATTTTTAAAAAATTCTGACTATTAAGCCTATTCTACAATTCTTTGTTTCCTGTTTCTTGCTTTTTCCCCCTTTGCAACCGTTTTATCGACAATTGTATTTTTTGCTACATATTTCTTGTTTCTTCCGAAGTCCGTTAACTTTGATCTTGGGCGACATAAAAAAAACCGGATAAGAAGCAAAAAGAGAAAATGTAAAAAAATAGCAAAAAACAGAAAACAAAAAGCACATTGTAAAATAATAACCATTAATATTCAAATTAATATTCAACAATTTTTTGTAGTTAAAATTTTCTAATTTATAATATACATAATTTTTCATCACGATTTGCGCAATATACAAAAGGCGGGTAAATGCAACAGGTGCATTTAACAAACCTCCAATACATTTCAGTAGGCGGTACAGTTGTGTGCTTATAGATACGCATGCGTTGTTATATCCTCAACGAATGCCTATACACATACTTTTCGCTGAATAAAGATCTAGACTTTGCAAGCGAGCGTGAACAAACACAGACGAACAATTTACTTTAATACAAATGGGCAATATTAAATTCGTTCACTGACAAAAAATATTCTAAATTTAATAAATCATTTATTAAAATAATACTAGCTAAATATAAAGATATATTTATTTAATATAAGAATCATTAATTTGATTTGAATAATCATTTTATTTAGTAAATATTTGGTTACTGTAAATAAATATTTAATTGATACTATTCAAATAAATAATTTATTAATATTTAATACATTTTTTCTCAGTGTAAAAAAAAATTGTTCATTCGTGTTTTGTGCCCACATTCGCTTCTTAATCTAAATTCCAACTATAAACATATCTTTATACAAATAATAAAAATTAAATTAAAAAAAAAATTATATCAAAAAACAGCTCTCACAAAATTAAATCAATATATTAAATAAAGAGCCTTGAGCCAAATAAATAATATATTAACAATTACATGTAATTTATATGCACGTTTCAACCTAAACACGAGATAATTTTCAATGTTAAAAAATTAATATTAAAACCGGCATGAAAATTCATCCGAATTACTTGCTCATTGCATCCAAAGATTAATGGCTTATATCAATAACTACAGTCTTTTGTGTCAAATTGTAAAAATATGTTCTTCATAATTTAGGAATTTGATGAAGGAACTAGTAATATACAGGCCATGGTCATTCTGCCATCGAATATGATATTAATAGGATGAATCTTAATGTGATGTAACTATAACTTTGGCAGGAGAGTATGATCTTCACATATTATAATATTATAATAGGATATTTGATAAAACTCTCGCATAGGGGTAGAACGAACTAAACTGAATCGAAAAGTCCTCTATCATTTTACAATTTTCGCAATAGTTAACAGGATATTAATTACTAAAAATCGCCGAATATTGGTTTTCAATAATTTTTTACTCAAGTACTATCAACTTTACAGACAAATAGCAAGTAACAAAAATTGTTCATTTTTTTCTCATAAAGTTCTGAAAATTTTTTCAGAATTTTTTAATGCCGCACTTTCTCATGTTGGTAAAAATAAGAAAATATAGTATTAAATAGTTGATTAAAAAATCTGAAAAAATTCTTAGAGCTCTATGAGAAAAAAATAAACAATTTTTGTTTCTTACTGGTTTTTTTATAAAGTTGATAGCACTTGACTAAAAAAATTATTAAAAACCAATATTCAGTGATTTTTAGTAATTGATATCTTGTCAATTATTGCGAAAATTGCAAAATGATAAAACTTTTCGACACAGTTTAGTGCGCTATCCCTATGCAAGAGTTTTATCATCAAACTTTACTTATCAAACACCCTGTATACATAAAACTATTTTTGAACTTTGCAAAGGGCTAGATGAAACGTTGAAGATCATTACTTAAAATCTTTAATTAATACATTACGTAAATTGTTACTAAAAATCATATTAAGTAACAACATTTAACATTCAACACGTTTCACCGTTTCAAGTTCTTTGTAACAGTTGAAAATGGTCTTATGAAATCAATTGTACATATTATAACATGTGAAGATCGTGCTCACTCCTGTCAGAGTTACGGTTGCATTATACCAAAATTCATTCCATCAATATCATTGTCTTGTCATATCGACGCCTGAGCCGTAGAAAATGCTACATCGATAAAAACATGAAAGATCTCTAACATCTCTGTCAAGAAATGAATGAAAAGCGGTCTATATCGCGTGAAGCGTGATTTATAGCGTGGTTTATATCGGAACACATACAAAGTATATTGAGGTTTATATCGAGAAAACAAGAAGAACAGTTCAAGTCGCATAAAATTAGACGGGATTATATAGCGCAATATTCACTACTCTTCTTTAGGCCATTAATCTTTGGATGCAATGAGTAAGTAATAACGAAATTTTCATGCCGGTTTCTATATTAATTTATTACATTAAAAACAACCCTGCGTTTTTAGGTCGAAACATTTGTATATAAATTACATGTAATTGTTTTTAATATTTTGTTAATTATTGTTAATATTTGATTCAAAACTCTATATTTGATATATTAATTAAATTTTCTTTCTATTACAGAAATATTTTTAAAAAATAATATTATAAAATATTTTTTACGCTCAAATTATTGCAGAATAACAAAACTCGTTTAAAAATTTTCCTTTGTTATATTTGTATAATATAATCATTTGACAATGCTGAGAATGGGTTTATAAAAGTCATATGCAAGTAACAATGGATCTGTTTCAGATTTTCCGCCGCCGTGGAAGGAATTCTACAGGAAGTATGTTTACTAGAATTCGCCAGTTCTATATTTACAATGTGTTTACCCGAATATTATTGTATAGTGGTACGTTTAAATATATATGTATATTAAAAAAAACGAATGTCTTCTTTAAATCTTATATAGATTGAATTATTTATTTAAAATTTTTCAATAGGATTGGCAAGACAGCGATACGGTAGGGCTAACAACTTATTTTCTGCTCTTTGTTTCATTTTGCTTCAACATGTACATATTATGTTACATTGGAGAGCAACTCGTGGAGAAGGTATATTTAGACTTTAATTCATACGATTAAGCATTTTAATTCTGTTACGTTTAATTATGTGATCTTCGCGTTAGCATAAAACTGTAATAAAAAATAGATGAAATTCAAGACACATGTCGAGCATTTTTCGCAAATTTAATATTTCAGAGCAGTCAAATTGGAACGAGGTGCTTCATGATACGTTGGTACCAACTGCCGGCAAAGTCGGTTCGCAGTCTAGTCTTAGTAATCGCTATGTCCAGTCATCCTATAAAGATCAGTGCTGGCAGAATGATAGATTTATCACTAGCGACATTTGGAAATGTAAGAAGTTGCGAAGCGTATACACGAAATCAACGTCTAATGACAAAAAAATTTTGAAGAAATAAATCGATATTCCAAAATTACTTGCTTGAAAATGCCTTTACTTTTTTTTATATGTGCTCTTAATAAAAGACTACAGCTGTAAGAAATTATAAATTACAAGAAAGTATTGTATTTTAATGCAATTTTTCATTAGGTACTCAAAACAAGTCTAGCGTATCTAAGTTTTCTTCGAACGTTAGTAGTATGAATATACTGAAAATGCTACGACAAATATATATATATATATATATACGTAGAAGAAAAATATCAAAAACATGATGACTCCTTCACGAATATTTATAGATCAAACGTGAGTATTTTAGTAAAATAACAATGATATAATATTAATTTTATGTATCTAAAGATGACCTACTTTAACTTTTTTAAATATCTCTAAACTCGTAAGTTTTAGAAGAAAATCTTTTAGACAAAAATCGTAGTCTCAAGAAAAATAATGGTAAAATTAATTTCCAAAAAAATCAATTTTTTATTATCATATGAAGGTCAATGACATTTTTTAAAATAAAATTACATAATTTTTTTCATAATATATATGATTTCTCTAATTATACGGCATCTAAAAACATTAAGGTAAAATTAAGAAAAAATTAATACGTTACAAAATATTTTATATAAAATGTTTTTTTCTATGAGAAGATGTTAAAAAGAGGCCGATTTTTTCTCACAAAGATGTAAATAAAAGAAATATAGCGTTTTTTATAGATTTTGATTTCGTGAATATGATAATGTTAATAAAAAGTTCAGGATCGATAGAGAACACCTTTAGAAAAGTGAGCATAAATGTAATATATATTTAAACAAATTTTAATATTCTTGCTTACTTTTCAAGGTGTTCCCAAAGTACCCTTTCAATAATTTTATCACATTCAGAAAGTCATGCGCCGCCGGCTTAAAATTATTAAAAAGTTTGTTGCATTTGGAAAATTGAGCATGAACATGATACATTTAAACAAATTTGAATATTCTTGCTTTTCAAGGTGTTCCCTATCGATCTCGAATTTTTTATTGAGATTATCGTATTCAAGAAGATGAAATCTATAAAAAACACTATTTATTTTCTTACATCTTTGTGAGCAAAAATTGGTCTCTTTTTAACATTCTCTTTTACGGATTTTAAGATATATGACTGACAAAGTTCAAGTAGGAAACCCTGTATATTTAATTATTTAAAAATTTTAAAAATTTATTGAGTTAAAATACAGATTCATAACGATTTAACAATATTATTACTATATTCTACCTCTGTGCAATAGGAATCATGTAGCAATGGAATAACTACGTCAGATGTCAGCCGACAGCTGATGATTTTTACCGATTGTTGGTTAAAATGCTGCTGTCAGAGAAGCACGAAGTGACAATGATGCTTTCCATGAACAACAAAACAAAATGTGATCGAAATATTATTAATATCTTAAATAGAAATATATAATTCGTGTAAATAAACAATTATTGTGATTGTATGAGAGTGTGAATGTAATGGTGTATCGGTAACTGTACTAGTTTTTGCAACTATTGTTTTTATTTTACCTAACCTCTCTATCTATTATATTGCGCATTTATCTCACGTAACAAAAATTTACATAATTTTATAATATTTTAACTTACTGAAAATGTATATGTACTTATTATGAAAACGAAACAAATTGGTATGTTGCATTATATAAACTGATAATATGACGTAAATTAATCAAATGTGATTTAACAATACAGTATACAGTCTACAAAGTTTTTTCCAACAGAAACTACGTATATTGTGAAAATGTAAAAACGTCTTAATTTCTTTCAGTACCATCTTTTAATATATACTAGACAAGATATATAATTGTATTAAGATATCAGTACGTTAATAAATTGATGTGAAAATCACTGCTACAAAATGTCTGAGAAAACGACGGTTGGCGGTATTCCCGTGGAGTGTCTAACTGGAGAATCAGCTGCAATATGGTCTGGGTGGCGTACACTAGGAGACAGAGAACTTGTGAGAGAAGCCTCTGCCAAGGGAACTCACATAAAACTAGCTCACAAATGTCTTGCACATAGAAGAAATTGTTCTGTAGAACAAGCATGTACATATTTTAACAAGGAAGTAGATAATTGGGTTGATGAGTTATTAAACAAAAAGCAAGTTCACAGAGCTTCACATATTTTAAAAAATATGGTATGTTAAATATATTAATATATTTTTTGGTTAATTAAATTTATAATAAAATTAATAAAATTTTAGTAATAACTAAAAAAATAATATATTTAGACGACAATTTTTGTTTATAGGAAAAGGATCCCATGGAACATATTTTTATCATTTCTATAAAGAGCAAGGATTCTCTTTTAAGGGACTATTTATGTGAATATATGATAAATATTAATGGATTCAAGAATGAACATATTGCAGCATGGAATATTATCAAGTCAATTAAACAGTATGAAGAAAAATGCAAGTAAGTTTGTGAAGATAAAAAAATATAGCAGGAAGGAAAAATATTGATATATTATCTTCTTATTTTAGAATTCAAAATGGATTAAGTTCTTGTGTATGTATAGATGACATAATGAAGTTACCACAGAATATTGAAGAAGCTCTACGAACTGAATTATATTTTTCTTTGAATGATCCAGAAATTTTGGGAAATGTGTCAAATAATATTTTGTGGGATTATTTATTGTCTAATAATAAAATTAATGCATTAAAGATATGGATTGATACAAAGTATAACCCAGACGGTTCACAAATCTCAAATAAAATTGATCCTCATTTGAAATTGTTGTTTACGAATTTAAATATTACATCCGATATGATTGACTATATAGATTCTTCAAATGCTGGTGATCTTGTAAAAAATCTAGCTAAAAATCATTTATGCAGGTGTGCACATAATAGCTGTATAATATTTAATATTAATCTATACTTTCTTTGCTGGTTTAATAAGAATTTTTTAATTTTAGATATGGCATTTTTACAATAGAAGAAAAAAATGATTTGCAATTGATATTAAATCGTTCCTTTGGCTGTGGTATTACATTGGAAGAACTCAGTACAAAAATATTATCCTTAGCTTCCAGTAACATTGATAAAACGGAGTTCTTGCAAAACATTGATTATCAACTATGTCTTATAGATTGTTCGCAAAACTGTCATACTCAAGAAGACACTTTAAAACTTAAAAAATTCTTCAACGTTTTAACTGATATGTGCAATGCTCGAGATAATTACGAAAATGCGTTAATACGTGGAATTGTGGGCTCAATTGATTATCTCTCAGATGATTTTAATGATTATCTGAAGACAAATTATTTAGTAAGCTTAGCATTAATATTTTTGCAATTATGGCAAATGCGGAACGCGATGTGTGATAATGCAAACTCTTTAGAAAAGAACACGTTAATAAGAGATATATTTACGAACAAGACTGTTTTAAAAATCGACACACGTGTTATTTCCCAAGAAGTTCTTCAGTACACACTTAGACATGTACCGGAGCTGCAATATATCATCGAAGATCAAAATAAAAAAGATGATATTACAGTGTATGATTTATTGGATGGCTATAGAAATTTGAATTCGAAATCTGCATTCAAGTGGCGCTTCAAGAATGAGCCCATGCCTATTTTCACAAACGAAAAACTTGTTAAGAAATACGGACATCAAGAAACGCTAACATACGGTTATTATCTGAAAGAAGGTAGGCCGAATATGGCTGTGTATCATTTACACGCTCAAGCGAAGTTATTTGGAAATGTATCTTCCCATAGGTTCGTATTCTTATGATATAATGTTCTCATTTTGTGATCGTTAATAATTAAAACAAATTTTAGGAAATTCAAAGCAGCTTTGTACGCGCATGTTCTTGCTTTGAGAAATTTAGATAAATCTGATATTGTATGCAGCTGTATTGCGTTCGTCGAGTTGCTGAAAATTGACTCGAATAATTTACGATTACACGTAACTGTGGCAAAATATGTACAAGAGCAGTTAAATATTTCCATAGGTAATTTAGTTTATATAACTTATAATTTAGTTTATATAATACGACATTCTAAAAAAATAACTATATCAATGTAATTCTCGCAGTATAAATGTTAATATTAACAATATGCTGTGAACTAATATCATGGGTTATAAATCCACATTATAATGTTGATATAAATACCAGAAATGGTTGATATAAACCATTCGAAATTC